CCCCAAAACCCCAAAACCCCAAAACCCCAAAACCCCTATCCTATCATAAAAATTGCATTAATCAACAGGATAAAACAATATACTTGTAAAATTCTAACCAAATTCCCAATTTCATGTTCATGCATCTCTGAAAAGTCAAATTCCATGACTACCTTCTCTTCCATCGGGTTAAAAGTATATTGGCTAGACCTACTCGGCTTGTCAGTCTTGTAATAATTAATCTGTTCTTCAATAGGTTGCTCTTCAGCGTCAGAGCCTTGGCCACTTATAATCTCCTTTAGATTTCCATTTTCATCAAAGCTTAGCCATGTATAATCGTTCCTGATGTGGTGTTCACCTTTGACGATGCGACTGGTGACTTTCTCAGCACAGTTTATAAAGTCTAATGCACACCTAGTACTGCCACCATACGGATACATGTATAGCCTAGCTGTCGAGAGTCCTTCCATTTCAAGCTCAAAGAATAACTTGGTTACCTTAACCATTTCATGAGTCTGCTCATCTATCTCATAAAGATCTGTGATATAACTCGAGGGTGATTTTGAACCAAGAGTAGTCTCTAGGATCAAGTAAACAATCTTATTCTTGTACTCATCGGGAATTGTGATATTCATAACTTCATGTCTCTTAAATGCAGAAGGATTCACATATACTAAATCAAAGCAGCTTGGATAGCTGTAATTCTGAGAAAATTTAGTCATAAAGCTATCATTATAAAGCTTATATACTGGATAGCTACTATTTAATAAATGCTGCAGACTTATATCGATGAGATTTAGAGTTTCATTATAGGACTTAGAATAGCTCTTCTCGGTTTCTTGATCAAAAATTCCTGATATGGCGTAGTGGTGAAGTAGGGAAGACCATTTTTTCTCAGCCATTTCGATATATTGATTGAGATTATATTGATTTCGATGCATCTTTTTGCTTCCCAAATTGCTCACCAATGTTCCTCTACTAGTTTGAATGATTCCTAGTATAATTTTTAAGCCATGCAATTGATTAAATGCATACCTAATATTTTGAACTCTTGTCGAATAGTATCCAGTCCAGAAATCTTCAGATTGCTCATTAGGCTCATTGTACGGTAAAAAATCTCCTTTAAATAACCCAAACGTGCTTTCAGAATTATGGAGTCCTTCGAAATAATCATAAAGGGAGCTGTATTTTGCATCTACTTTCATCCCAACTTCAGTTGCTTCTGTCTTAAGACCTTCGAGCAGCTCATCATACTTTTTAAAGAGTTCAGGAGCTCGTACAAAGAAGTGGTCACCACCAAGTCAGACCATTGAATGGATGCTTGTTGTTTGATTGTTGCTCAATACTTCAGCTGAAGTTAATGATGGGACAATATTTTCAGCATAAATAGATGCTTTTTCCGTTTGAATGTTTGATTTAATCACCATTCCTTCATCCCCAGCATCCAAACTTGTGTAATCATTTGTCAATATATGGGTTAGAAGGACATCGTCTTGCCGATTTTCTGAAACTTGATGGCCTTGCCAATAGAAGTTAAAGCCATACTCATCCTCGAGCTTCTTTTTGTAATCTGATGAGATCTTGTTTCCAACAATTGCTTCGTATCCAAGCTTGCTTAGTACAGATATTGTAGCAGCTGAGTGACCGATTGAACCAATTTGCCAGGCTATGGTCGGCTTTATCCCAAAATAATGGTCTAAGAATTTTCTTCCAATTCTCATTTGAAGCATCGTTTCTTTGTAAGAAGGTAATGCTTCATCATTCATAACGAATCCTCCACCTACAAATACAAATCTTCCTTCTTTAATCAGTTTTCTAATTCTAGTTAATTTTGAATAGTCAGTGCTTGGATATCTATAAATCCATTTCTCGAAGGAAGCAATATCATCCCAATGGAAAACTTTACTTTGATCTTTCTCCAAAGCAGCTACCACATTATCCAAGATTTTGTGGGTGTATTCCTGGTAGTATTTTTCAGGAGGCATCTGCAAGCCAGGCCTGTTATGCGAGTGGGCGATACCGTGAATTGTCAAGTTCAAATCTTGAGCAGCCACTAAGATACATAGTCCAAGGAGGACCCCATATTTAATGTTAAGCGCCATATTAATAGTAAATATTACTAGCAAATCTTAATTTATTGGGGTTTTGGGGTTTTGGGGTTTTGGGGTTTTGGGG